AAAAAAAAGAAATTAAATAAACCTGATTATCACCCCCTGCAACAAAATTGAATTGAAATAAAGTTGAAAACAAAATCTTAAAAAAATAGTGAACGTTCTTAACTGCGTCACAAGCTTATCATTAGTGATGATAATTACAATTATGTTCATTGTTGTAAATGCTCCTTTTGTAGCCAAACCCTCTCCTCCCGTGGTATCAGGCCCCGCCATGAGGGCCCCACCTGAGCAGACGGTGAGCTTCACCTGCAGATCCCACGGCTTCTCCCCCAGAAACATCTCCCTGAAATGGTTCAAAAACGGGAATGAGATCGCAGCCTCCAAGACCAGCATGGACCCAGAGGGAGACAGCGTTTCCTACAGCGTCTCCAGCACAGCCAAGGTGGTGCTGGCCCCGGGGGATGTTCGCTCCCAGGTTATCTGCGAGGTGGACCACGTCACCCTGCAGGGGGGCCCTCCTCTCCGTGGGACTGCCAACTTGTCTGAGACCATCCGAGGTAGATGCCCCTCACACCAGCCCGAGCCCACACCTGCCCCCAAGCCCCACCTGCTCCTCCCCCTGCTTTTGGCTCCAGGCCTTGAATTGCCTGGAGTAGATTTCCTGACAGTCCTTCCCGACCACCAGGCACCTCCATGTGCTGGTCACTCACTACTGATTTAATGGCAGCTGCCAGGTGACACCTGCCACGTGCCAAGCACTGTGCTCAGCAGTTTCCTTTACTTACAACAGCATCTCCAACTACTGAGCACCTACTCTAAGCCAAGCCCCTAAGTGCCTCGGGATTTCACTTACTTGGCTGCAGTTATTATATCCCAACTGCATGCCAGTTGCTTACTGATTCCCCACATTATAACCCTAACAGGACCAACCAGTCCTTGAGCACCTGCTGTGTGCCCTGCACTGTGCTTAGGATCTCATTGATATGCAAATTGCACAAGTGTTTGAGCACCTGCTGCATGCCTGGCTCTGTTCTCAGGCACCCCCTTGCTGGGCTGGGAGCTGCTCTCCAGCCCCTGCCCTGTGACCTCTCTGTTCCACAAGGTCAGAGCTCCTGCCCTGTGCTGTTTCAGTTCCGCCCACCTTGGAGGTCACCCAACAGCCCATGGCAGGGACCCAGGTGAACATCACCTGCCAGGCGAAGCAGTTCTACCCCAGAGACCTCCAGCTGAGCTGGGTGGAGAACGGAAACGTGTCCAGGATAGAAGCGGCGTCGACCCTCACGGAGAACAAGGATGGGACCTTTAACCGGACGAGCTGGCTCCTGGTGAACTCGTCCGCCCACAGGGGGGAGGTGCTGTCCTGCCGGGTGGAGCACGACGGGCAGCCAGCGGTCAGTGCCAACCTCACCCTGGAGGCCTCTGCTCCCCAGAAGGACCA